TGCTCACATCAGAAAGCTTCTAACAACCTAACCTTTCGGGGGTTTGTTTTTGTTTTTTAAGTCGGGGGTTTGTTTTTGTTTTTTAAGACACGGACTCTCTGTAGCCCTGGCATTTCCTCTGTAGACCAGGCTGGCCTCAAATTCAAGATCTGCCTGCCTCTGCCTCCCAAATTCTGGGCTTAAAGGTGTGCGCCACTACACCTAGAACAATCCAATCTTGTAAAAACCAATTATAAAATGCTAATTATCCCTTAAAAGTATTCAAAAGTTTTGATAAATAACCGTTAAACATTAAAGAGCCACCTGGGGAGTAGGGGACAAGAACCTGGAATACTGCAGAGAATATTTAGTGAAAAGCCAAGCCCACACAAAAGCAGCTGCCCCTACAAACCTGAGCTCCAAACAGCTTCACTTTCTTGACCTCAAGTAGCTGGAAGGCATCCCCAATAGAAATGTTTAGAACGTTTATTTTCCTCAAATGTATCAACTGTGTCTTGATACTTTTCTGGATGCCTTCTGTGACAGCAAATGTAAGAGGCCTGTGTCAGTCACCTGAGCTGCCCTTCTCAGGTCACAGTAAATCATACGACGTCGGCATCAGACATGAGTGTTCAAGGAGCAGGGCCCCTCCCCTGGATTGTCTATAGTGAGCTGGTTACAGAACCTGGGAAAGAACGTTGCTTTCACTAACCGGAACTTTGCACCACACTCTTTACAAACTAAGAGAACAACAACAAAATATATACGCTGCTGGGAAGGTGGGTAAAGCCCTTGCTGCTAAGCCTGATGCCCTGAGGTGCATCCTGCAACCAACACGGTGAGAGCATCCACTCCCAACAGCTGCCCTTTGCACACGCACTAGTTCGTGCACACAAGCTCGGAAGCACTGTTGAAATGAACACGGGGCATGCTACAGTCCGTATTTCTAGAATAGCAGTCAGCTTCCATGCAACTGGTCCTGTATCATCTCATGGGACCTTTCTTCCTTTCTCTTTTTGGGGGGAAAGCAGTTGAGATCCCCCTGGAGCTGAACTTAGTAACTTGTGAACCACCCTGTGGGTGCTAAAAACGTAATCTTTGTCCTTGTGAGTATAGCAGTGCTCTTAACTGCTGCTCCAGCTCTCCAGCCCCCTATGTGGAATCTCTCATCTGTCAGGGAAGCCACATTAGAGGGTAAAGACTGACAACCTTCAGCAGGAAGCATCTAAGCTCAGCTGCTGCACAGGCAGCACTCCTATGGGTTCTATTTTAGGAAAATTAGAAATTAGCATCGGCAGCGGAGACACATCTCCAGAGTGGCCCAGCTCTCAGCTGATGCTGCCAGCCTTCAATTCCTGCCACAACCCTGGGGCAGCTTCCAGGCACACTGAGCTACCTACCTGGGCTAATCAAGTTGTTCCCTAAGATGACAAGGAGTGTTTCCACTAGGGCCTGCTTAGTGAGTTACACGGGGTTCCAGTGGCCTGTCAAAACACTGTTTTCCAAGAAACCCTATTATGTGAGGATTGCTCAGAACACACAGAATGTATGCTGGCCAAAATTTATGAGTAAAATTTCTACTTACAATTACTGATCATAAATTTTCTTTCAAACACTCCATAACTTTTAAGCATTCCAACATATACTCTGCCAGGTAGCTCTGAAGCCCAGCTTTTAGTTATTAAATATGAAACATCTCTATTCTTTACTTAAAAAAAAAAAAAAAGCCAGGATTTGGTGGTGCACACCTTTAATCCCAGCACTCAGGAGGCAGAGGTGGGCAAATCTTTTGAGTTCAAGGCCAGCCTGGCCTCTAGAGGAAGTTCCAGTACAGATAGAGCTATACAGAGAAACCCTATATTGAAAACAGGAAAAAATATTTTTTTTGGCCCAGGTGTGGTGTGACACATGTCTTTTTTAATCCCAGCACTCGGGAAGCAAGAGATAGCAGATCTCTAACTTTGAGGCTATGCAGTGAGTCCCACAGCAGCCAGGGCTATATGGTGAGACCCTTTCTCCAAAAAATGGCTGGTACAAGCTGAAGCACTCTGGAGCACAGACCAGGGGCAGCACCACCTAGGACTGTCCCAGACCTCAGGCATAATCTCCATTATCTCACACCTTTCCTAAAAGCTACTAAAGAAAATATTATTTAATAGCCTAAGGAGTCCAACTGGTGGGTATGCTCACATTCGCAATACAAAGGCAGTGAAAAACAAACCAAAGCTTAGAAACTGGCAAGTGAGGAGACAGGGAGTCAGGACAGTTTAGGATGATCAGTGATCCGCTTTCAGGCCTCTAAGACCCTGAGCCACCAGGTCTTCCCACCCCCCTCAACACTTCCATCTTCTTCAATCTCATAATCATACACTTCCTGGGGACACAAAGCGCCTCTAACACAGCAAACAAAGCGCTAATAACTTTGGCTATTCCTTCATTCAGATAGCGGACATCTCACGCAGCACCAGGCCCTGCACACTGGAGTCTTCATAGTAACACAATTTTGCTTCGGTTTGGTTTGGTTTTGTGTTTTTTGGAGGGACAGGGTTTCATGAAGCCAAGGCTGGCCTCAAACTCACCATGTAGCTGAAGCTAGCCCTTAGCTTCTGATACTCCCAAAGCTAACTCAAGTACTAGCATTGCAGGCACGCACCACAATACCTAGCCATGCACACAATTATTTGAAAAGAAAAAAAAAAGCACTTTTTTTTTTTTTTCTGATAGAAATTAGAGCTGATCCTGCCTGCCCACCTTGGAAACAGGTTTCTCTGTATGACCCTGACCGTCCTGGAACTCAAACTCAGAGATCTCCCTGCCTCTACCTCCCCAGTGCTGAGACAAAAGGCATACAGCCCCACCGTGCAGCTTAAAGATGATGTTTTTTTTTTCTGTTTGCCAATCAGTTATGCAATAAACATTTTCAATGAATTGTACGAGAAAAAAATATTTTAACAGAAGTATACAATATTAAAGTATATATATATATATATATATATATATATATATATATATATATATATATATATACAAAAAAGTTCTTTCTAGCTAGCTACATTTACGATAAAAGACTAGTATGTCAACAAAAACGAGCAAGGAAATACATCATCCACCTTTCCCCCTCTCTGGGGGTATTACATGAGCCAAGTCTGAAGACCATGGTACTAGACAGTTTTCCATAATGATTTGTAGCTACTGCTGCTGCTGTTTTGAGACAGGGTTCACTAAGGCTTCTCTTCGATCCAGTGGGCCCTTCCTGGAAGCAGGAAGACCATCCATTCCTACGCAGGGAAAGCCAGAGGTAACAGTAGAAAATACACAACACCAGGCACAGTGGCCCACACCCACCAGCACTTAAGAGGCTAAGGCAGTCTGAGGCAAGTTTGGGCAAGCCTGGCTACACAGCTAGATCCTGTCTCAAAAACACTAAAACTGTAGCACAGACTTATAACTCTAACATTCCACAGCACAGTTGATTTCAGTTCTCCATAATCTAGAAGACTCTGTAAATCACTTAGTCACATCAACCAATTAGTCAAAAACATCAAAACCTAAATCTGAGGCATTAGGTTTCCTTTCGTAATTTCTCTCTCCATCTTCAGGACACTATTTCACTACATACAGCGGGGATAAAGCTTCACACCGCTGCCAATGTAGCATTTATCCACATGCCAACAAATGTTTCAAAGCATACAGACTACACTAAGCTCTACCATCAACCTCTGACTTAAACAGTTTCAAACTTTACCCCACCACCGTTTCTTTTTCTTTTTTTTTTTTTTTCTTTGAGTTTTTCTATGTAATCCTGGTTTGTCTGGTACTATGTACTATGTAGGCCAGGCTGCCTTGAACTCTCAACAGTCTTCTCCAATCAGCCTCCTAAGCGTGGTAATCAGTCGTGAACCACCACACCTGGCTTTCATTACTGTTATTTTACCGGGCTTTGCAAACATTGTTTAATTGTAGTGAGACAATTTTCGGTCAAGATTACCTGCTACTATTGAAAATTTCCAATAAAGCATGCATCTAAGTATACGTTTTACCTGACCTACTAAATCCAAAGACCAAACTGAAGCTACAAATAAGCGATGTGGGAAATCAGAAAAAATGCCTTGCAACCAGCTAAAATTTTTCAAGAGTCAGCTCCAAACAGCCTTATGCTATTTCAACACCAGCATCCCTGATAAAGCTTGGAGCCAAGCTTTTGCACCTCAGCCATCAGAATGCAACGATGTATTTCTGAAGTTGTTTCTGCGGAAGCTAAACCACTATGGGGAGCTGAGCCCGGATGAGATAAACGTGATTTGAAATAGTCACTTTCTACTAAGGAGAGGGGGAAGGAAAAGAAGAGAGAATGCACTGTTAGTAGTTAGTCTACATCAGCAGGATACTGGGTGGCCACAGACATCAGCCCTCACAACCTTGAGCTGTTTGCTGGGGCTGTTAAAATTAGGGTACACACAACGTGCTCAGCAATGTCATCATTCAACAATTCTTTAACTGTATATAAACTATACAACAGAGCGCAGTTTGAAACCCCATCTACAACTAACCACAAAGACTCTTCCGGACACAGCTTGCACCTACGGTACAAAGAAGTCATATAAATAAAACACACTTTTTAAACTGCCATCTTGAAGACCAAAAGGCCTGCCAATAACTTATGAACTGCTTTCCAAAACTGTATGGGAGTGTCACGACCACGTACTCACAACCTGGTGAACTGGTTAGAGTTCTATCGCCAATCAAATCAAGAATAGCTAAAGGTTAAAGACGCCAAAGCCGGGAGCGATCTGCTTCACCAGCATCGTCCCAGATCTCCTATCAGAGGACTGAAGCAAAGGCAGGCGCGGCCGGGAATCACAAGGGGAGAGGCCGCCTTCCGGGCAGCCTGCAGAAGTCAGGGCGCCCCCACCGCGCCCTAGACCCCGATCTCCGCGGTCCCACCTCCCTCGGCCCCGAGAACCCCAACCCCGGCGCGCGAGCCCCTCCACGTCCTGGCCAGGCCAGGCCACATAGGATACTGAACACTGTCCTCTCCCAAGGCTCCAGCATGTAGAGCGCCGTGACCAGCATGTACTGGTAGTAGAACCAGGACATCTGCTTCCAGGCCCGCGCCAGCCCCATGCCCGCCATGCGCCTCCCGCGATGCAGCAGCGTCAGGCCGGCCCGCGGCCCGCTCACCTCCTAAAGCCCCAGGCCTCGGGGCCCGCCCGCCGCCACCCTGCGCCCATTGGCCCTGCCGAGCCTGCGCGTCACCGGGTACGCCCAGCCCGCGCGCACCCGAGCGGCCACCGCCCGCCCCGCCTAGCCGGTGCTTATTGGCCAGGCGGCGACCTCGCGAACTCCGGTCCCGCCCCGCGCCTCGCCCGGTGAGCGCTTCCCCAGCCCAGGGAAACGGTCTAGGTTTAAGCGCCGGCTCTGCGTCCCCATGCGCCCCCGTGGCGGTTGCAAAACCGGCTTCAGTCCACACTTGTCCTTGAGAGGGCAAGCCCTTGGGAGGCGGGTTCCTTCAGACCAACCCAGAAGGACTCCTGTAGGAAGCCTTCTCTCCTGCCTCAGGAATCCCTCTGGGCCAGGAGATCGTAGGGCTGCGTGGGAATGCAACCCAGGACTCCTGTGCAAGAGGAAATGAGGAAACCAAAGAGAACGCGGATGCCAAATGTCACCAAGTCAAGGAGGTATTGAAAACTGTAGAAATGATGTGCGTATTAACTCATCCCTTCGCCCTGGCACATGCGTGAAAACACATCTACCTAGGCCACATACCCCTATCCCAAGTATTTCTGGACGTAAAGACAAGAGAACTGACTACAAACAGCTGCTCATTGGATCATCTGGAACTGGAGTTACAGTCATGAGCCACCATGTAGGTTCTGAGTCCTCTGCGAGAACAGCAAGTGTTCTTAACAGCTGAGCCAACTTTCCAGCCCCAGTTGTCCATGGTTTAATGTATTATATTATGCTTACACTGAACGTTACAGGAAGTTACATTTTATAAATGGAAAAACGGAGGGAAGGTTTGGTGGCTAAGAGCATTTGTTGCCTTTGCAGAGGACCCAGATTTGGTTCCCAGTGCCCACACTATGAATCCCAACTCCCATCAGGTAGGATGCCCTCTTCTCACCTCTTGAGGCGCGCAGGACAGACACATAAGTGGTGTCAGAACATACATGCAGACAAAACCCTCATAAACATAAAAAATAAGCAAATAATCTTTATTATTTATTTATCTATTCACTTCACATCCTGGTTTTAGCCCCATCCTTCTCCCAGTGCCACCCTCCTTCCCTCTCCCTCTTCCCTCTCCCCTATTCCTCCACAAAGGGGAGCCTCCCTTCCCATCCACCACAGGTCATCAAATCATCAGAGCTGAGAGTGTGTCCTCTTCTGTGACCTGGCAAGGCAGTCCCTCCAGGGGGAAGTAATTGAAAAGCTGGCAAGAGAATCCATGTCACAGAAAGCCCCACTCAGCTTATTAGGGACCCACATGAGACTGAGCTGCCCATCAGCTCCATCTGTGTAGGGGGCCTAGGTCCAGTCCATGCAAGGTCCTCAGTTGGTGCTTCAGCCTCAGCAGGCCCCTCTTCGCCCTGGTTAGTTGGCTCTGTTGGTTTTCTTGTGAAGCTCCTGTAACCTCCAGGTCCTTTTCTCATTCCCCACACTCTTCCACACGGCTCTCTACGCCTCTCCTAATGTTTGGTTGTAAGTTTCAGCATGTTTCAAAACACTGCTGGGTGGAGCCTCTCAGAGGACAACTTTGTTTAACTCCTGTCTGCAAGCAACCTTAGCAGAATATCATTAATAGTATCGGATTGGTTCTCTCCCATGGCGTGGGTCTTAGGTGTAAACAATCTTTTTTAAAAGTATGAAATAAAACTAGGAAAATGTCAAGAAGTTGATCCCTTGAATTAAAAGAACGAAAGGAAGTTATTTCTAAGCAATAGTCATAACTAATTAGGCCAGAAATTATTTCTCATCTTCATGTTCAAATTCTAGCTTAGTTTAAATGTTGCAGGATGTTTGATCCCATTGTGAACCCCAAGATGGTGAACTGTAAAAACCTGTTTCTAGTTGGGGAGTGGCTCAGCCCTAACACACACCTTTAATCCAGAACTTCCTGTTTGTTGTAAACAGGTGGTTGTGGTCGGCTCAACCCTAGCACACACCTTTAATCCAAGAGCTTTCTGTATACAGGATTAAATAAAGTTAACCCTAGCTGAAGAGGCAGAGCAAGTAACCAGCTGACAGAGATTAAACAGAAAGGAGGGACATTGAGAGAAGTAAAACTTCATGGAAAAGAAGGGGCTTTTTAGGTGTGAACTTTTGGCTTTTCCATCTGGGATGTGGCCTGAGTAAGAAAGGCTTTTTCCAGCCGGGCGTGGTGGTCCATGTAAGACCTGGGGTCTCACAGCTCAGGAGTTCAAGACCGTGCCCTTCCCAGAAACTCCCCCAGACCACAACCCGTTGCAAAAGCAAGAGGTTTATTAACCATTGCACAATGGGGTCACCCCTGCTGGTCAGCAAAGAGTGGCCCCCGGAGACAAAGGCCTTTAGGTTTTTAAAAGAAAAATTGCGGGAGATTTGAAGTTGCAGTCTTGGCAATTTAGGATTGGATGAGGAAGCTATAAAGTAAGATAATTGGTTAGTCTTAGGTGCTCAAGCTTGGCCAGTCCTTCCAAGTGTGGATGAGGCTGCAATCGAAGGTGGGGGTGGTTAGCTCATCCTTGAAGTTTAGGGGCTACAGACTTTTGGCTGGAGGTCAAAAGCTACTCAGAAGAAGTCTAGGTTCATTGCTAAGAAACGCTATCTCAAAGACAGGAGTTTTTCTTTTTGCTGAGTGAAGGTCATTGCTTACTTGCCTTTTTTTCTATCTGTCCTCATAGATAGGGTCACATTTTTCCATTCTCTAGAAAGGTACTAAGAGGCTTTAGCTTAACCTGAACCTAAAACTCAAAACTATAGGCTTTAGAAAACATACAGGTTACAAAGTTAGTCTAACCCTTTCAGTCCACACCTTTAATTCCAGCACTCAGGAAGGCAGATCACTGTGATTTCCAGGCCATCCTGGCCTACAAGTTGAGTCCAGGACAACCAAGTCTACAAAGAGAAACCCTGTCTGGAAAAACAAAACAATAATAAAAAAGGCTTTTTCCTCAGGGTTGTGAGCAGAGTAGAAAGGTCAGCTGAGGACTTGCTCTGCCTCTCTGAGCTAATAAGTTTTCACTCCAGCATTTGGCTCCTGAGTCTTCATTGGTAAAAATCGAACAATTTGGGATTTTCTGTTTTTATAAGAACATTTTGGCACTCCAGCTGTGGCACGACCCCACAGACAGAGAGTTCATTCCAGCTGCACACAAACTGAGAAGCCATCAGATTTGGTAGGTCACCTGGGAAGTCCTGAAGGAGAGAGTTAAGGATGGGAAGCACCATAATAGAAGGTTTTAGAATCCTGTATAGTGCTACTATGTGTGGCTGGAAAACAGAAGCAGAAAATGAAAAGGTAAGTGGCTTACCTTAAATTGTCCCAACTATGATTATTGTCATTTGGTATTTTATACTTATTCTTAATAGCCATAATGGCTCTCTGTACTCGCTCAAAAAAAAAAAAAAAAGTGGATTGATAAGATGCAAGGCTTACAAGGAAATTAAAGAGACAAATAAAAGAAAAAAATTCTCAGACACAGACACAGAGTAATTTAGACAAGAGCCTACCATGCCACTGAAGGGGGGTGGCCCAAGGTGGTTAGAAACCAGCCTTAGTTTATCCACTCACTATACAAGGTCTACCAGGAGACCAGAAGCACCCCAAGGTTATAATGAAATTAAATGGAATTCTATAGACATATTAGATGTGAGGAGATTAAAGAAATAGTTCGTTTTCTATGGTGTGCATTCATCCAAGGTGAAACATATTTAAATTCCATGGTCAACTCAGAACAGGATTATCCCCTAAGACTGGAAAGATTTGGCAACAGCAATATTGGAACCTGGTCCTCGGTTACGATGGCAGTCATGGTTGAAAGAGGAAGGTAGGACCACAGAACAATGAAATCAGGCCAGAGGTATTGATATTTCCCAGGATGAGTTGCTAGGGGAAGGTCAATATGCTGATTTACAAAGGCACCTTGAATTTGATAATCACACTTTGGCACTATGTCATTTAGCAGCTTTAAATGCTTGGGATAAGGTTAAAGAATCAGGAAAGAAATCTGAGTCATTTATTAGAATCAAACAAAGATTGACTTCAGTTGTAAATAGAATAAAATCAGACTCAGAAGTCAGAAAAATAGTGATTAAATCTTTAGCTTTTAAAGTGCTAATTCAAAATGCAAAGGGGTGATTACAGCTCTAAAGGAAAGATCGGCACCAGTAGAGGAATGGATTAGATACACCGCTGACGTTTTAGGAGCTAGTCTGAAAGAAGTAATTTCTAAAAGTCTTGGAAAAAATAAAAAATGCAGATGAAGTGAATGTCCTTTGTGACCTAAAAATAAATACATTTAGAATTATATTTAGTTTCAAATTTTCAAAAGTATTTTTTAAATTTCAATTGAAAGATAATACTTTTTCTATTGCCAAAAATATTTTGCCCTGGGAAAGATATAACCCACCAAAAAAGAAAACTCCAGAGTTAGGAGTGGGGCAGGGTTTTGTTTTCATCTTTCCAGGAGAATAAAAGCACCAATCTAAGGATTCTGGAGACTGCTGGACAAATGAAACTTCTGAAGAAAAAGAGCCAGACACCAAAGAAGACAAGTATACCGGATGAGTCAACCTCACAAACTGCCTCAATAGCTGTTTCCTCACAAATCTGTGTCCAGAACAACTCCAAAACAGCGAGCTGAGGTTGTCCAGCCTCACGGGCTGTTCCAGCCAGGACTTGGGTTAAGCCCTGCACTTTCCCATCCCACAAAGACTGGACGACAAATGATACAGCCAGCTCTTCTAGGACTTGGTCATATTCCAATTTCTTGGACCTCCAAAAGGAAACTACGTCCCAAGTCAGCAGGAAGCTATCTGAAGAGAACAACACGCCATTCCTGAAAGGTGGGGTGGGTGTTTTTTTGATTGTTTGTTTGATGGGTGATAGACGTTTGTGTTTGTTGTCTTTAGGGAGGTTGATTTCAAGTTGTTACTGAAGTTGGTCAGGGAAGAAACAAACTATAGGAGGTTAGAGTCAGAGATTTTTTTTCTCTTTTTCTTTCCTCTAT